GCCTGCCGACACGATGGGCAACGGCAGCGGCGAGAAGTGGGAGCTACGCACCGAACGCGGCGGCAACAAGGTGCTGCGCCCAGTCCTAGTCATTGTTTTTCTCTTTTCTTTGCTTTGCTTCGCTTTTCTTTCTTTGCTGCTTGGCTGACATACAATCGCACGCACGCGCGTCTGCAGGTGAAGTCGCGGATTCGCACGCCGTCGATGATCTTCAATTCGCCGCTCTCGATCCCCATCGCCGGCCTGCAATCGCTGGCGTCGGTGATGCCGGTGTCGGAGGGTCCGCTCAGCACGAGCATCGCCCTCAAGCGCCGGCGGGGCAACTCGCTCTCGTCGCCGCTCTCGTCACCGCGCGAGCGACACACCTACGCCCAGCTGTCGCCCGTCAACAACTCAAGCAGCTCGCCGGTCAACTCTCCGCCGTCGGCTTCCACCTTCTCCTCCTCGTCATCGTCGTCGCACTCTGCGTCGCCCTACAGCGTTGGTGCCCGGAGCTCAATAGAGACCTCGCCCCGGACTGCGCTTCGCAACACACTGGTACGTCACCACTTACAGAATGAACAACAACAACAACAACATGTTGTACTGACTGTCTACTTCTGTGTGTGTGTGTGTAGCGGAGCATTCGTGCATCGCGCTTCGTGGACCTGGAAAGCTCAGAGATCAGCGACGCGGGTACGTTTTGCCTCCATGTGTGCTTCTTGCTTGGTGACAATGAACTTGTGCCCTGATGGTGGAACATATTTATTTTTATTTCCAACAGATGTGTCACAGCTCTTGAGTGAGTACAAGGAGCTGGTGGGTATTGTCAAGACTGTCTCCTCCCTCCAAGAACAGTAAGAACCATGTGTTAGGCATGCAGCTTACAGTCACAATTTTGTTTTCACAATGTACACTAATCAAAAATTGGGTCCAGCCACTTGCTTCAGTCGGCTGAAAGAAGACTGAAAGATTTGATTTATAATTTCTTTCGCTTTATGGTAGAAATGCCAGCAGGAATTCCCAGTCTTTAAACAGAATTTGCTTGTAACAAGCACTGTGCACAGTGTAGTTTTTGTCACCTGCGACAATGTGAGAGATCCCCTGTGGTGTAGTTGGCTAGCATTTCCGCCTGTCACGCGGACGACCCGGGTTCAAATCCCGGCGGGGGAGTTACAACCTTTTTATGCTGGATCATCTGATCCTTTTTATAAAAAGGAGTATGCGACAAAAGAGAGGAGTGAACGGAGTGGGATTTGAACCCACGCATCCGAAGATAACAGTGCCTTAAACTGTCGCCTTAGACCGCTCGGCCATCCGTCCCTCGCTAGATGACCACTTTGCTGACATGCAGCACCTAACGACGCATGGTATCTACCCCTCGCAAACCATTGTCTATTCTTTCTGCAATCAATACACCCATTATTACATGACACATAAGCCAAAATCTCAAATAAAGAAAATGAAGCTTCAGGCCTGCTGGGGGTCGAACCCAGAATCTCCTGATTCGTAGTCAGACGCCTTTCCATTGGGCCACAGGCCTTGCTTATTTCATCTTTTTCCTGAGCTTTGGGTGCAAGCACAACTTACAGACCATACTATCATCAACTTTGCATAAAAGTGGTTTTAGGCAAACTCATTCAATTGAAGCATGGTTCAGTCATAAACAAAAACAATTGGCTTTAGGATAGAGTAAACAGTATTTTGACCACAAACATTTCCAGGTCCAGTGTCATGAGGAACTTAAAATGCCCATAGAATGGCCTGAGTGCTGAAGCCAATTGTTGTTGTTTACCCTGTCTTTACACTCACTGTGTTAGCACTTGTATGAGAAAACAAGGCGCTAAATTGGCTGGTTTCCACACACCAGATTTGCAAGGTTAGGCAGCCCAGCCACCATCACCCGCTGAAACGTTGCATGGGCAGCAAAATTCCTGCTTCGGGTGCAGGAGGCCCCGGTTCGATTCCGGGCCCTAGCCTTTTGTTCCCTTCAACAAAGCCAACCCAACGTGCTTTTTGGCAGGGGTGAGAATGGGTTTGTTATCGTAAGAGAAGCCTTTATTGCTGTGGTGTTCGACAGTCAGACGCAAGCGGGCTCGTGGTGAGCTTTACGCTGGCGCCGTCATTTGCAAACAGCCGAGGGAGAGAATAAGAGGCTTCTCCTCTCACGGCCTCGTAGTGAGTGGGAGGGAAGATGAGCGTAGATAGAGAAAGAGAGGAGAAGAAGAGAGATGTGGAGGAGAGGACCGGAGAGATGATGTGGGGGAAGGGGGAGAGGTGGAGTACGTCAGGGATTAACCTGCTGCAGCCCCGCCTCCTCTTCTCCGTCGCTGGTGACTGAGCATCACCGTTGGCCTGGCCTGAGAGCGTCTCAAGGCGCGCGACGGAGTGTGTAGCGAGGAGGCTGAGGGCGGCAGCAGCTTAACCTCAGCAGCCCTTCTTCTGGGCCTCCACCCCAGAACGTTTGGTAACTTCGAGCGTCGTGAACTCCTCCGCTGTAGTCGGGTGGATGCCCACCGTGGCGTCGAACGTGCTCTTCGTAGCACCCGCCCTGCATCAAAGCAGCCAATAGTCAGTCACCACGTGCGCAGACGCTACACACGACGCGCGGCACACACACAGCACACACGTTTGTCGGGGGGTTGGGGGGGAGTACTTCATGGCAGTGCCGAAGCCCTGGGTGATCTCGCCGGCGTTGGGGCCGAGGACGTGGAAGCCCACCACGCGCTCCGAGTCGCGCTTGTCGCAGATGAGCTTGGCGTAGCACACGTTATCGTCCCGCTCGGCGATGGTCCACTCGAGCGGCTTGAAGTACGAGTGGTAGATCTCGAGGTTGTCCTCGCCGAACTGGGCGATGGCGTCCTCCTCGCTGTAGCCGATGGCACCGTACTCGATGGGCGTGAACACCGTCGTGGGCCTGCGCCGCATGTGTGAGTGGGAAAAGAAGAAGAAAAAAAGGAAAAAGAAAAGGTGACGTGTAACGTACACGTTGATGTAGTCCATGGGCTGGGTGGACCCGGCGTAGAGTCGTCGCACGAGCAAGATGCCGGCCTTGATGGCGACGGGCGTGAGCTCCAGACTGCGCTGGCTCGGCTCGTCCTGGAATTCACAGAGCAAAAAGTGTAAATGTTATAAAAATGGAAATAAATAGATAAATACAAAGAGATAAATTAGAAATAGAAATGCCAGCAAAGGAATAAAAGAGAGAGAGAGAGAGAACGTACGACGATGATGTCGCCGATGGCGTAGATGTGGGGAACGTTGGTGCGCTCCATGACGGTGTGGATCTTGCCGATGCGGTCGACCTGCACGCCGGCCTTGTCGAGCCCGATCTTCTTGGTCTCGGCCTCGCGGCCAATCGCCCACATCACCGTGTCGTACTCCTCCTAAGCACACGCACGCACGCGCATCGCACACACGCGTGGTGAGCAAGGCGGACAGCACTGCAGCGCCCGGGCTCGGTTAGGGGTCGGTTGTACCACTCCCTCGACGCCGTCCTGCTGGAAGGTGACCCGCAGCTTTCCGCTCTCGAGCTTCTCGACCTTGGTCGGAACGGCGGACCGCACGAACCTGATCATTAAGAATGAAAGAAATAATAAAATGAGAAACAATACCAACAATAATAAAACAAACGAAGATAAACAATAAATAAATAAATAAACCAACAACGTACTTGATGCCGTGGCACTCCATGTATTGGCCGATCATGTTGGCGAGCTGTTGGTCGAATCCGCGCAGCAGGATCGATCGCACCATGACGGTGGTGTCGTAGCCCAGCCCGCGCACGAAACCGGCGCACTCCAGTGCCACGTACGACGCGCCCACGACGAGCGTCTTGCCGGGCGGGGTCGGGAGCGAGAAGAAGTCGTCGGAGGTGATGCCGAACTCGCGGTCGCCCGGGATGTCCGGGTACTTGGGCCTGCCGCCGGTCGCCACCAGGAAGCGGCGCGCCGTCACGCGAGTCTACCGCAACACAGGAGTGAGATAGAAGAAGAAGAAGCTCGGTTTGAGAGTGCGGCGAGCGGCGTACCACTTTCTTGGCACGGTCGGTGCACTCGAGGGTATGCGAATCGACGAACACGCCGTAGGCGTTGAGATAGTTGACGTTCTTCTCGCGGAGCGCCACACGGTAGCCCCAGTTGAGCGACCCAATGTGGTCCTGCACGGCGTTCACCATCTTCTCCCTGCGCTCGCCAGCCGTCAGTTGCTGAGTCTGTAGGGTACGCGAGCGCGAGCGCACACACGCGCACACACGTTCCCAACGTACCAGTCATGGTTCACGTTGTCCGGCACGGCCCAGCCGTAATGCTGGGCGTCCTTGAGCGACTCGCCCAGGAGCGCAGCCTGGTGCATGAGCTTCTTCGGAATGCACCCCACGTTGACGCAGGTGCCTGGTCGGTTGGTGGTTCAGCTTCGGGTCTCTTGTGGTGCTTGTTTGGGGGGGGGAGGGTAACGGTACCGCCAAGGCCCCAGGTGGTGCCGGTGGGCGTGGGCACGACAAAGTCCAGGAGGGCGACCTTCTTGCCCAGCCTGCCGGCCTCCTTGGCCGCGGCGAGACCACCAGAGCCGCCGCCGATCACGATGAGATCGTAGTCGTAGGTGTGGTCCTCGGGCTCTTCCGCGTCCACTGCACCACCAATGAGCAAGTAGCAGGATCAGATACGAGGAATTCATTGATTCAATTTCTATTCCTACTACTACTTTCATGAAAGTAGTTGTAGTATTTGCACGTACCTAAGCGAGCGTCGGCCATGGTGACCTCCTTGGTGGGGGACGGCACGCCGTCTGCTACCGGATTATTGGAGATGATTTTGTGTTCGGCCTCCATGGTTTGGTGGAGCTGATCTCCTAGAGTGGCCACACGTCTCGCTGCCGAACGGAGCAGAAAGCGAGAAGTAGGTGCGCTACTCAATGCGAGGCTACTGCACTCACATGCATTACATTGTGAGCATGTTGTGTGTCCCTAGCCAACATTCATTATCATTACGATGAGATGAGTCGCTCACCCAAATCTCCTTGACGCGGCAGATGCTGTTGCGTGGGTAGCGCGAAAGGGCAGAGATGACGGTGCAGCCCTCACCGAAGCCAAAAGGGGACGTACGCGAGATGTCCTAATCGTTCCGTTCGCCTCTTGCAGCTCCGCTGAGTGGTAGGCTGTTGCTCGCCTGTTGTTTTTTCTGGCTCCTTGGAATCAAAAAAATAAAAAAAAACAAACAAAAAATAAAAAAATGCGTGGAGCCTTTTTTGGTTATGCCCCTTCAAGTTTGCGCTTTGTTCCAAGAGCTGCTATGATGAGGAGGGAGGGGCTGACCGTTCGGGTGCCCTGCCAGATGTTGTTGCTCGTTGTGGGAACTATGGCGCTGATCGCCAACCTCCTATTGGCTCCCAAGCTGGCAGACAGTGTGGCCGCCCTCCACCGGCGATATGCGGGCCTTGACCAGCTCGCGGAGTACAAGCGCCAGCTGGAGAGCCCGAGCGATACCATGGCCCGGCTCCAGGCAGATACCAGCCCACAGGCAGACGTGTCTGAGGCTTTCGAGCTCGCGCAGCAGCGCCTGGCCACGACCCAGCTTGAGCAGAAGGCCGATGGCAAACAAGCGCAGAACGTGAATAGGGATGACGAGGCGATGCCTCCGGAGTGCGAGGCAATGTGGATGCATGACAAGTACCAGAAGACTTTCGTGGACACCCTCACCAGGCGGAAGATCAAGCAGTACCTCGAGTGGGGTGGCGGAGGGTCAACCCTGTGTTCCTCCCGCCTGGTGGAACAAGGTACAGCACCACCGCACCAGCTGCCTCGCCACCGCACTCACCACCACCCACGCCTGCAGTCACAACGATCGAGCACAACGAAGAGTGGTGCAAGCTCCTGAGGGAGCAGCTCCAGGACAAGAACGTGACCAACGTCAACCTCATTTGCTCGGCCGTGGAATGGACACAGTTTGGTAAGCTATGCGTTGTAGCCCTAGCAGTCATCACAAGCTCATGGTGATGTCAATCAGGTACATCGCCGGAGGGTGATGGCACCTACGAGGAGTTCCACGACTACGTGGACGCAATTGACACACTGGACATACCTCACTTTGATGTGGTGTTCATAGATGGCCGGTATGTGTGCTTGTTATCTACTGCCAACGCCTTCTCCTGATTCACCTTACCTCGTTAATGTCATGTCATGTGCCATGTGTGCACCACTTGTATTGACCACAGGGCACGTGTGCCATGTGCAAAGAAGGCCCTGGGCTATATCTCCAGTGACTCTGTGCTCATGGTCCATGACTTTCAGCGGTGCGCTCACACCCTTTTCCCACCCCTCCTGCACACAGCATCCCATTCATTCAAACTTTGTGTGACAGGGAATTCTACCACACTCCAATGTTGCAGTGGTATGAGGAACTTGAGAAGTTCATAGAATGGCCTGAACTTGGAGTGCTGAAGCCAAAGTTGTAATGAAAGTCTGTTAGCACCTTGATTGTTGCGGACCGCAGCTAACAGCTTTTTTGACGAGTGTCCAAAAAAATATTCTTTGCCAAAGCCATCAAGCTAAAAAGAATTCCGGCTGCCCGGACTCGAACCAGGAACCGATAGATGACTACCGAGGTGAGCATCAAGACTACAGTCTACCGCGCTACCAATTGCGCCACAGCCGGTTTTACTGACTAGATGACGCTTCGGCGGGTGCTGGTGGCCGAAGCCCTCAATTTTGTGCGTCTATTCGTGTAACACGACCCGAAGCCATAAGATGTTGAACCGAACATTTCCATACTGCTCGCTGTCGTGCACCTCAGCTTCCTGGACCACAAAAAACAGGAGGAGGAAGGCTCAGTTCCAGCACATCAATGTGGCCTGAAGTTGTGCTTGTGCACCTTCTTGATCACTAGACCCATGGCCATGGCCTTCTCCTGAAACAGTCTTTCCACTTTGGGGCTGTGGTGCTGATGTCCAACCTGGTGGCACCATCTTGACCATTAGTTACTTGAAAACCACTTGACCTCATGGCTGCCAAGAGAACATACCCAAATCTTGGTGCACATTGCTCTGTGTGCACATGGTCTGGACCAATGGTGTGATTGTGGTGGCCATGTAGATGCAGTCCAAGCACATGACCATGTCAACTGGCAGCTGCAAGTCACCTACATCACCACCCCTGCCCATGCCCTTTGATCAGCACCTGCATCAATCAAATAAATGCTGGTGGTGAAGATGAATGGT